AGTGCACAGTCTATTTGCCTTTAGTAAATCAACCCTGGTGGCTTAAATAAAACTGTGTTCAGAAGGAAAAAATGTCTTAAAAAAGTGGTGTTTTTGTATTCTGCCTATGTGCATGAGCCTTCAGGGCCACATTTCATGTCGTATGGGCACCACAGTGACTTAGTTTTCTGCCTTTCAGCACTGGGGTCCTCAGTTCAAATCCTGATCAGGATACAATGGAGGTTGATTTCCCTGTGCTTGCAAGGGTTTTCTCCCACATTATAGCCAATTTGCCACACTGGTAGGCAAATTGGCTCTTGTGTGTGTGATAGGGACCTTAGATTGTAAGCTCCTTGATTGATGTAAAATGTCAGACCTATATAAATACCTGTAAAAAATAGTAACAGTGTGCCTGGCTATGTTGTAAGTGGAGCCATGCTGGGGCGTATTCAGGGGCGGACTGACAACTCATGGGGCCCCCGGGCAATAGGGGATCATGGGGCCCCTGTGTCCTTGCCCAAACTCAAAAAAGCCTATGAAAAAGGTACCAGGGGCATCTCATGGGGCCCCCTACTGACCCTGGGCCCTTGGGCAGTGCCCGAGTTTCCAAATGGTCAGTCCGCCCCTGGGCGTATTTACCCCAAGGCAAACAAGGCATTTGCCTAGGGCGGCATTTTTTAGGGGGCAAGAATGCCCCCCGGTAGAAGGGACATATGCAGCATGGGGACCAGGTGGGATCCGAGAGAGGCTTCGGGCTGATTGATGGTGTATGCAGAGCCCAACTGTTGTTCCTGGGTATGGCCAAAGTTGTGAATATTAGTGTCTTTCTCTCTGTTGCCAGGGGCGGGTGTTAGCAGAAGGCTCTCTTGGGTGGGGGGGGAGGGCAGGGGTGTTGTGGGGGGGGTCTGGTGTTGGTTGGTGTCCAGCTCTCTCTGCCGGGGAGGGGGTCTGGTGTTGATTGGTGTCAGGCTCTCTCTTCCGGGGAGGGGGGGTGGGCATCCAAATTTTGTATTGCCTAGGGCAGCACAAAACCGAAATACACAACTAGAGCCATGATTAAAATTCAGACAAATATAGTACAAGTCAGCATTACTATACAGTTATGGTTATTTTGATCAACACAATTCTACTTGCTTGCCATGAATAAAAAATGTTCTGCTCCCTCCAGTGACTTAAAGCCTGGACAGTGCACATTGCATAGTCTCTGGATTCATGAGAGTTTTATGAATTTCACATCATTAGAGACTACAAAGTGTCTATTGTGTTCAGTCAGACAGACCCTGTTTAGTAAGCTCAGTGATATAAGAAGATCCACAAGGCACAGAATTGTGCTGTACTACTGAGCAGTGTCAGAGCCTCTATAGAGCAAAGTAGGACTAAAGGCAGTTTTTTTGTAAATTTTGGATAGAACAAGGGAGAGTTACAACAGTTTTTTGCCATATGTGTCCCATTGAGGAGATTTCCCTTCACTTCCTGTCTCATAGCCAAAACAGCAAGTGAGAGGAAATCCTGCTAAAGTGAGGGAATCCCTGGTTGTCACTGGGGTCACCAGAACTAGCATCCCAAATGAAAGTTACATAGTTAGTCTGGCTGAAAAAAGACAAAAGTCCATCCAGTTCAATCATTTAAAAAAAAAAAAAAAGTTATAATCCTATACCCACAGTTGGTCCAGAGGAAAGCAAAAAAACCCAGCAAAGCATGATCCAATTTGCTCCTGTAGGGAAAATCGGATTGCCCCCTCCATTCCTGTTCTGAAGACAACTCAAAATTTGGGATTTTCTTTCACATTCACTCTCGATGATAATGATAAACAGGGTCACTCTCCCTAATGGGGGCACAGAGAGCAATAACAACCTGGCCGGTGTTCTAATCCCTCTCCAATGTATCCAAAACTAAAAAAAAAAGTGTTTTGTCTTTAGTTATATTTTGAGGTAATCAATCTGATCCTTGTACAGTGGGGATCGAAAGTTTGGGCACCCCAGCTAAAAATTTGTATTAATGTGCATAAAGAAGCCAAGGAAAGATGGAAAAATCTCCAAAAGGCATCAAATTACAGATTAGACATTCTTATAATATGTCAACAAAAGTTAGATTTTATTTCCATCATTTACACTTTCAAAATAACAGAAAACAAAAAAATGGCGTCTGCAAAAGTTTGGGCACCCTGCAGAATTTATAGCATGCACTGCCCCCTTTGCAAAGCTGAGACCTGCCAGTGTCATGGATTGTTCTCAATCATCGTCTGGGAAGACCAGGTGATGTCAATCTCAAAGGTTTTAAATGCCCAGACTCATCTGACCTTGCCCCAACAATCAGCACCATGGGTTCTTCTAAGCAGTTGTCTAGAAAATTGAAACTGAAAATAGTTGACGCTCACAAAGCTGGAGAAGGCTATAAGAAGATAGCAAAGCGTTTTCAGATGTCAATATCATCTGTTCGGAATGTAATTAAGAAATGGCAGTCATCAGGAACAGTGGAAGTTAAAGTAAGATCTGGAAGACCAAGAAAAATATCAGACAGAACAGCTCGCAGCATTGTGAGAAAAACAATTCAAAACCCACGTTTGACTGCACGATCCCTCCAGAAAGATCTGGCAGACACTGGAGTTGTGGTACACTATTCCACTATAAAGAGATACTTGTACAAATATGGTCTTCATGGAAGAGTCATCAGAAGAAAACCTCTTCTACGTCCTCACCACAAAAATCATCGTTTGAACTTTGCAAATGAACATATAGACAAGCCTGATGCATTTTGGAAACAAGTTCTGTGGACCGATGAGGTTAAAATTGAACTTTTTGGCCGGAATGAGCAAAGGTACGTTTGGAGAAGAAGGGGCACAGAATTTAATGAAAAGAACCTCTGTCCAACTGTTAAGCATGGGGTTGGATCAATCATGCTTTGGGGTTGTATTGCAGCCAGTGGCACAGGGAACATCTCACGAGTAGAAGGAAAAATGGATTCAATAAAATTTCAGCAAATTTTGGATGGTAACTTGATGCCATCTGTGAAAAAGCTGAAGTTAAAGAGAGGATGGCTTCTACAAATGGATAATGATCCTAAACACACCACGAAATCCACGGGGGATTATATCAAGAGGCGTAAACTGAAGGTTTTGCCATGGCCTTCACAATCTCCTGACCTCAACATCATTGAAAATCTATGGATAGACCTTAAAAGAGCAGTGCGTGACAGACAGCCCAGAAATCTCAAAGAACTGGAAGACTTTTGTAAGGAAGAATGGGCAAAGATACCTCAAACAAGAATTGAAAGACTCTTGGCTGGCTACAAAAAGCGTTTACAAGCTGTGATACTTGCCAAAGGGGGCAGTACAAGATATTAACTCTGCAGGGTGCCCAAACTTTTGCAGACGCCATTTTTTTGTTTTCTGTTATTTTGAAAGTGTAAATGATGGAAATAAAATCTAACTTTTGTTGACGTATTATAAGAATGTCTAATCTGTAATTTGATGCCTTTTGGAGATTTTTCCATCTTTCCTTGGCTTCTTTATGCACATTAATACAACTTTTTAGCTGGGGTGCCCAAACTTTCGATCCCCACTGTACATATATAATTAGACTGTTTTTTTTTTCAATACAATAACACATAGGGGTTGAATTACCAAAACTAGAGTGTAAAAATCTGGTGCAGCCCTGCAAAGAAACCAATCAGCTTCCATTTTATTTGTCAAAGCTTTATTGAAAAAGCTGAAGTTAGAAACCGACTGGCTACCATGCACAGCTGCACCAGATTTTGCACTCTCTGGTTTTATGTACGCCACAGACGGTTCGTTTATCAGCCGATTTTTTTGTCCGAAAGAATAATCGGCCGAATAATTGCCGTGGGGCAATGGCATCGGCCTATTTTCATGGTTCCTCCTCATTTTATCGGTCATGCTGGAAAATTTGCAAAAAAACGGCCGATTTTCGCAATCATTGGTGGCAACAGAACGACCAATGTTTCGTTTTTCGGACGAAAAATCGGCCGATAAACAAACCGTCTATGGCCTGCAATAGTCATCAATCCTATAATATCACAAAGGGTGTTGATATTGGATTGACAGTGGACAATTGAAAGTAGGCAGTGGTACTTCAAACTGCTTGAAATGCTGTATGATTCTCATTACTGACTACAACCTTTATTTAAAGCGGTAGTAAAGTCCGCTTTTCAACTTTCAGCCTGGGTTCACACTTCGGCGGTGTGGAACATCGCATGTGATTCGCACAGGAATCGAAGCGAATTCTGTGCAGTGCAATTTGAGCCATACATTCTGTATGGCTCAGATCGCACAGCATCCGCACCAAAAAAGTGCAGGACCCTTTTTTTTGTCCGCACTAGAATCCGATTCTGCACATCGTACCGCATTTGGGAACCAATTTCAGGGTGTTGCTAACTTAACATACACACCCGCAGAGGTTCGCATGAACGGGGTACGATTTTGATGCTGTGTGGAATTCGCACAGAAACCAGTGCGAATTCCGCACTTCATCAGTGTGAAGCTGGGCTTACTGACGGGTAGGCTTACAAGAAAGCTTACCTGTAGGTAAAATTAATATTTCCTAACACCATTAAGGAGATATTCTAGCGAGCAGCAGCTGGTGACATCACCGACTCATGCACTCTGAAGGAATGGCAATCCTGTGCTTGTTGTGCCCGGGGCTCCTGCGCACATGCACGGGACTGAGCATAGTGATTTCAACTGTAACTGGAGAGGCAGCTTTGTGACTACCTGATCTGACAACCATTGTCTGTAATTGATCTGATACTATTGCTCCTCCCACTTTTTTTTTACCTACCAGGACCTATTTATAGCCTAGTGCAATGAGCAGGGTGGGCATGTGCAATCAGTTGGAGCAACCAATCAAAACATAGTATTTGATTTTTGCTTTTTTTTTTTTACCTACTTTACTGAGATTAAATAAAGATCAAACTGTGCTTTGTTATGTCATAACTATATGGGTTTATCACTATTGTGGATGAGACTGATGTTTGCATTGTAAAGTTGTTTCTCCTCTTTATAGGGAAAAATAAACGCTTACGGCAAGCAAAAGAGGAGGCTACAGCAGATATTGATCAGTATAAGCTAAAGAGAGAGACTGACTTTCGACGTATCCAGACCTCTGTAAGTATTTGTAAGCTTTGTAAAAGTCATCCTTGAGATAAGTGTGAAAGAGCGTGGATAGTTAAGAGCAGGGGCGGACTGACAACTCATGGGGCCCCCGGGCAATAGGGGATCATGGGGCCCCTGTGTCCTTGCCAAAACTCAAAAAAGCCTATGAAAAAGGTACCAGGGGCATCTCATGGGGCCCCCTACTGACCCCGGGCCCAAATGGTCAGTCCGCCCCTGGTTAAGAGCCGTTCTCAGGTTTGTATCCACACTGGGGAAATATCTGTCTCCTGATGGCATGACAGACTATTAAAAAGTCTTACCAATGAAGTCACAGACAGGAATTAAAACTTTGACAGATCTTTTCCCACTCTACAAATAAATGTGCTTTTGCTGTTGTTAGTCTCTGCTGCAGAGATTCCTTTCACTTTCTCTCTCTGTGACACAACAGGAAGTTAAGCGGTATCTCCCTAGCAGAGATACAAGCAGTATAAATGAGAGAGAATTACTAACCCCTCTCAATTCTATTAACAAACTTGGTCTGGAAGTCTTCCACTTTAGGACCGCCCTATAGTAGTTTTACTGCTATAGGGTGGCCGTCCTGTCCAAAATTATTTATACGTGATTTTACACATCCACCATAGGGGGCTCACTCAAGCTGATCTGCGAGTACTGGCAAACGCGTGTTTGCCAGCACCTGCCGATTGTCCGGCAGGGACAAACAACAGAGCTCTGCCTATGTAAACAAGGCAGAGCTCTGTTCTGACGTGAGGAGTGAACATTCACAGCAGAAGCTGATCTCCGAGTACTGCCGAAAGCACGTTCACCAGCGCCCCACCCGCTGATCGTCCGACAGGGACAAAGAACAGAGCTCTGCCTATGTAAACAAGGCAGAGCTCTGTTCTGACGTGAGGAGTGAACATTCACAGCAGAAGCTGATCTCCGAGTACTGCCGAAAGCATGTTCACCAGTGCCCGCTGATCGTCCGGTAGGGACAAAGAACAGAGCTCTGCCTATGTAAACAAGGCAGAGCTCTGTTCTGGCGTGAGGAGTGAACATTCACAACAGAAGCTGATCTCCGAGTACTGTCGAAAGCACGTTAACCAGTGCCCGCAGATCGTCCGGCAGGGACAAAGAACAGAGTTCTGCCTATGTAAACATGGCAGAGCTCTGTTATGACATGTGGGGAGTGAAAGATCATGTGTCCCTGTGAAGCTGGGAACACAATCTTTCACTTCCTATAGTGCCAGCGCCACATAGTGTACACAAATCACATAGCTAGGCACACACTTAATCCTTTGATTTCCCTAGATGTTACCACTTTCCCAACCAGTGTCATTAGTACAGTGGTCAGTGCATAATTTTCATTTTGAGATAAAGGTTTTACAGGAAAAAATAAAAGCTGAACAATTTAAGCACCCCTGCCAGTGTTAAATGGTTTGTCCCATCCCTGTAAACTGATACATGTGGAAGAGAGCTTGTTCTTTTGAAAAACAGCAGAATTACTGGCTGGATCACCAGATGAAAATAAAAAAAAGAAAGTCTAGAAAAGAAAACTAATGCAGCCATCACATCTAAGAATTGTTAAGCTGCAATATATTAAACATTTGCTTTTGGGTTGGCTTTGCTCATGCTTGTAATATTGAATGGTCTTGCAATACTTTAATTGTGCAATTTTCAGTGTACTGGCATCAGTGTTATAGTTACATAGTCAGGATGCATATTAAGAGGTCATTTACCTGTCTTCCACCAATAAACCTGTGGAACCTAAACCATACTACCTAACGTAAACGTGCCAGGTTCACAACGAGTGTTCTTTAGATTTCTGCTATCAGATCTTTAGCATAATTTGCAGATAACTACATATGGACACATTTTTATTTGCTGTTAGAAGACATGAACCATATGTAAGATCCCCTGTAACTCCTCCTGCCCTTATCACAGACATGCTTGATCTTATTGTAAAATCTGGTTCTACTGGTTTCCAGTTAAACTTGTGTATATAATTGTACTTTTATGCCTCTCCTAATACTTTGTTCTTTTCTCAGATAATGGGCTCACAAGGTAACTTGGCAGTGAAGATAGAGGAACAGACCACTGAAAAGATGCAGGCATACAATTCAAACTACCAGAAATTCAAGGAGAAAGTAGTAAAGGAACTTCTGGAACTGGCCTATGATGTTAGACCAGAACTCCATAAAAATTTCAAGAACAAGCAGTAACTACCATTCTCTCTCGAAAATCCAACTTCTATTTACTATGCTTTTGGGAGTACCAGGAAGGGACAATGCACCAAGACCACCGAAAACATGAGGATAGCAACTTGACCAAAGAAGATTTTTTTAATCACTAGCTGAAAATCGTTATTACAACTACTGTATACCTAAATGTCCGGTGCTGCATTATTTGCATTGTTCCGCCTCCCTTGTAAACACATTGTATTGAAATCTGAAAGCTGTTATACTTTAGGAATCCCAAGAATAAATAACTAAGTGTCATTGCTAATTTTCCATATATCTCTAGACAGGGCAGCAAATTGTATTAAAAAAGTTAATTTAAGCAGTGTTAACCCTTTTGCTGCCAGGCCTTGCTCTCCACTTTTAAACTCAGGTGGCCAGACCATATTTGCAATTTCTCCATTGCTTTTTTATTTTTCCCTCACAGCTTTCAGAATTTGCAAAAAACACCCCAAACCATATATTTTCTGAAAGCATAGGACCAGTAGAATAAAAGGAAGGTGCTACTGATTTTTTTAGGCCCTGTGATATTTGTGAAAATGTTCATCGAATGGCTATTTTCACTAAAAGTACACTAAAATCCTTATTAGTGGATACATACATGACAAACTTTACAAAACTTCTACTTGTTATAAAAGTTAAAACTGTATTGAGTTAGAACATACCAAATATTTGCAAATTTTTAATTGCTCCTTTTTGTGAAATGGTGAAAACTGAAGGTGCACAAAACTGTAAATAAACACAATTTACTCTAAAACTCTGAGGTTATCATTTTTCCCTTAGAGCTTTCAGAGTTTGTAAAAGACCCCCCCCCCCAATCAATATATTTTCTGAAAGCAAAGGACCTATAGAATAAAAAAAAAAAAAAAAAAAAGCTACTGATTTATTATTATTAGTATACACAAACACAACATAACTTATAACATTCCTCCTAAATTGCTACTAAGGACTTGTTCACATGGGGCATACTAAAATGTATGCCCGTGGAGAGCTGTGTTTACCCGCATGGAGATGCCCAGGTATTCTGTGCCAATTGAATGACAAAATTCATGTTATATGGGATGCGGTACAGCCACTGCTCCCAATCAGACATCCCTGTGGGTGTGGGTGCACAACCTTGAACGCAGACAGTGTGAGCTCAGGGACATTCACCCGGACCCACATGGATGTCAGTTTGGGAGTAACGTGTTTGTGCAGTTGCTACATCCCAAATGACATCAATGGGACTGCCTGAACGGAGATGTATGGAACACCTGTGCATCCCTGTGCAGGTAAACACGGCCTTTCAGGGACATACACTGCAGTATGCCCTGTGTGAACAAGGCCCTATTATGTTGTGTTATTTTTTTTTATTTGATTTATTTCTATTTTATTTTATTATTTTTTTTAATATTTTGTCCTTTTTAGGGGGGGGGGGGGGTTAGGAAGGCTTTGGTAAGATATCAGAGGTCTAAGGAGACCCCTGATGTCTCTTTTTTGAGACAGAGACAGGGAATAAAGACAGTCCCTTTCTTTGAAGCCTGAGCTACACTGTACGTGAATGCAGTCTGTGTAGAGTCTGTGTAGAGACTTCTATGCCGTCACAAAACTACAGTATAGTAAAAAGTGTTTACTATACTTCAGTAATGAATGGATAGAGGTGCAATCACTACTGATTGCCCATTATATCCAGTGGTGACGCTATGGGGGTGTGGACCGGGTGACATCTGCCAGAGGGGTGACACCAGGGGCGGACTGACCATTCGGGCTCTTCCCAGAAGCCTAGGGTCAGTAGGGGGCCCCATAAGAGTGTATATGTACACTGAGTGCTATTACCTGTATATAACACTGATATCTGTGCACTGAGTGCTATAACCTGTATATAACACTGATATAAACTGAACCTCTCCAAAACCGAGTTTCTTGTCTCCCCCCCAGCCCGGACACCACCCCCCATTGACTTCTCCATCACATCCAACAACGCCACCATCAAACCCGCCCTGCAGGCCAGAGTACTTGGTGTCATTCTGGACTCCAACCTATCCTTCCAGCCCCAAGTCCAATCTTTAACAAACTCGTGCAGACTCCACCTCCGCAACATCGCAAAATACACACGTTCCTAACCCCAGAAACCACTAAACAGCTCATCCACTCCCTCATCATATCACGACTCGACTACTGCAACTCCCTCCTCACTGGCCTGCCTCGCCGCTGGCTATCCCCGCTTCAGTCGATCCTGAATACGGCTGCCAGACTCATTCACCTTTCCAACCGCTCCGTTTCTACCACCCCCCTCTGCCAATCCCTCCACTGGCTTCCGATTGCGCAACGGATCAAATTCAAAATCCTAACACTTATATACAAAGCCGTCCACCAAACTGCCCCGAACTACATCACTGACCTAATATCCAAGTACCACCTAAAACTCACTCTTCGCTCCTCACAAGACCTCCTTCTCTCTAGTTCCCTGGTCTCCTCCTCCCATGCCCGCCTCCAGGACTTCTCCAGGGTGTCACCCATCTTCTGGAAGTCTCTGCCCCAACCCATCAGATTATCAACTACTCTCCTCTCCTTTAGGCGCACCCTGAAAACCCATCTCTTCAGGGAAGCCTACCCCACCCCCTGCTAACTTGCCGACCTCCTCCACTCTTCCTACCACTCCATCCCCCACAGCTATCTCCTCCTGTGCCACCACCCCCTCCCTCCTAGATTGTAAGCTCGAAAGAGCAGGGCCCTCAATCCCCTCATGTTTTGCATTGTATTGGTATTGTTCTGTCATATGTTCTGTCCCCCTTTGTAATGTACAGCGCTGAGCGAACTATTGGCGCTTTATAAATACTGTATAATAATAATAATAATATCTGTACACTGAGTGCTATTACCTGTATATAACACTGATATCTGTACACTGAGTGGCACTCAATGTACAGATATCAGTGCTATATATAAGGAATAGCACTCAGTGTACAGATATCAGTGTTATATATAAGGAATAGCACTCGGTTTACAGATATCAGTGCTATATATAAGGAATAGCACTCGGTGTACAGATATCAGTGTTATATATAAGGGAATAGCACTCGGTGTACAGATATCAGTGCTATATATAAGGAATAGCACTCGGTGTACAGATAACAGTGCTATATATAAGGAATAGCACTCAGTGTACAGATATCAGTGTTATATATAAGGAATAGCACTCGGTGTACAGATATCAGTGCTATATATAAGGAATAGCACTCGGTGTACAGATAACAGTGCTATATATAAGGAATAGCACTCAGTGTACAGATATCAGTGTTATATATAAGGAATAGCACTCAGTGTACAGATATCAGTGTTATATATAAGGAATAGCACTCAGTGTACATATATCAGTGTTATATACAGGTAATAGCACTCAGTGTACAGATATCAGTGTTATATATAAGGAATAGCACGCAATGTACAGACATCAGTGCTATATATAAGGAATAGCACTCAGTTTGCAGATATCAGTGCTATATATAAGGAATACCACTCAGTGTACAGATATCAGTGCTATATATAAGGAATAGCACTCAGTTTAAATATATCAGTGCTATTTGTACACTGAGTGCTATTCGCTATATATAACACTGACATCTGTACACTGTGGCGGGGGGGGGGGGGGGGGTCACAGGAGGATGCCGACCCCGCCGCCTCTGCGACCACTCGGTCTGGGTGAGTGGGTCCAGACGAGGCCTCCATAGGTGAGTGCTGCAGGGGAGGTGGAATCGGTGGGTTGGATCCAGGTTTCGGTGACCACTAGGAGGTTGAGGGAGTGGGAGACAAAGAGGTCATGGATGGCGGTGAGCTTATTGCAAACTGAACGAGCGTTCAGGAGTGCAAGGAGGAGTGCGGGTGGCATGTTAGGGTGAGTGGAGTGCTGGTCAGATCGGGGAGGTGAGAGGTTTCATATCAGGGCGTGATGATGCGGAGAGTCTCTCACGTCGTGGCGGAGTTCATCTGTGTCCATCTGTAGGAGGAGAGTGAGAGTTTTATGTTGCTAGTCTTTTTTTTCCAATTATTTTCAACTGGGGATCCAGCCTTTAACACTCTTTTTGATTTACTAAAACTGGAGAGTGCAAAATCTGACGCAGCTCTGCATAGAAACCAATCAGCTTCCAGATTTTTTTGTCAAAACTTAATTGAACAAGTTGAAGTTAGAAGCTGATTGGCTACCATGCACAGCTTCACCAGAGTTTGCACTATTCAGTTTTAGTAAATCAACCCTTTTCTGTCTTAGGCTACTTTCATATTGCTCAGCTGCAAAAATGCTGTAAAAATGCATATGCAGTTTTGCTGCATTTTTGCTGTGTTTTTACCGCGTTTTTGCCACGTTTCCGGTGTGTTTTTTCTCCTGACATGTGACTCAAAAAACACACCAAAAACGTAAAAATGCAGCAAAAATGCAGCCAAGCAGGACATTGAAAATCTCAATGGACCCAGTATGAGGAGTTCCATAGGATTTAACAGTCATGCGTTTTTCTTCCACTTTTTTAAACACAAAAACAGAGCAGTGTGAAAGCAGCCTTTAGGGCATTTTCTCTCTAGATGGAGGAGCAATGGAGACACCTCTGGACTGCTGCATTATTAGTCTGAGTACAGGATGGTGTTGGATGCACTAACAGATTTAGACTGACTTATAAATTAAAGGTGAACTCTAGCTAGCACTTTTAAAGCAGTTACAGCAACAGTTTTGTTTCCTTTTGGAATAAAGGTTTTATATAATTAATATACTGTATAAATGTCATAATATAATGGTCATAAATATGACCATTGTAAGCAATTGTGACCCTGTCAGTGTTAAATAGGTTGTCTCAACCTTCTAACTACTACTTTGTCTGGGCAGCTTGATACAAATCTGTGAGAGATTTACTAAAACTGGTGCACACAGAATCTGGCACTCTTTATTTGATATGCTTACATAAAATGCCACAAATCTAGCATAAAAGATCCCATGATCCACCATGCAGCAGCTTCCT